GCAACAAGTGTCTTCTGCAGATTATGGTACTGCTTCTGAGCACACGGCTAGTTCTACGGCGTCTCAGGCTGGCTTTGTCACTGGCCCATCCGGAACTAGTTCAAAAGTAACCAAAAAGCGCAATCGTCCCAACCAGTGGAGGAGGAAAGCTCAAGCGTTGCAGGTGAAAGCGAGTAAGGAAGGAGATGATACGCATGGGACACTACAGGAGAAATCAGGTGAAGATGGTGTTTTATCAAAACGTAAAGCTAGTGAGGAAGGTCTGGTGGTTTCAAAAATCGCTAAACGCGATGATGAGAAGGTGGTTCCGGTTGAGGAACCGCCGACTCAATTATGAGCTTTATGAGCTGGAATTGTCAATGATTGGGGGGCACTTTGACAATTCCCACGTTAAAGGAAATGCGTCGTGAACATTTTACCGGATTTCTTGTTCCTCATGGAGACGAAAAACTCCAGTAGTCACGTTTTGAAGATACAACGTTGGATGGGTTATGATAAGTCACATATCGCCGATCCAATCGGTTTAAGTGGTGGATTAGCCCTGTTTTGGAAGGGTGCCTATGAAGTGGAAGTGCTATTTTCGGATCATAAAATTATTGATGTTAAAGTAAAGCTTGGATCTTTGTTATTTTTTATCTCGTGTGTCTATGGAGACCCTGTAGCTCAATTTCGACAAGTTGTATGGAATAATTTGGTTGAAATTGGCAATTCACGAGATGATCCTTGGCTAGTTTTGGTAGATCTTAATGAGATAGTTGACAATACCGAAAAACTTGGTGGACCAGCACGGGCGGAATTCACTTTTTCCATTTAGGAATATGATAAATGATTGCCGTCTATGGGAGGTCCCGAGTATTGGAAACAGGTCTTCATGGGCCGGTGATCGCAATAATCTTTGGATTCAATGCCGTCTTGATAGAGCTCTTGGTAATGAAGCATGGTTTCATTTATTCCCGCGAGCTCAAGCGGAATACTTGGAACGCATTGGTTCTGATCATCAACCGGTTTTTATTCGGTTTGTAAATGAAAATATGTCTCGTCGAGGAAGATTTTTGTTTGACAAACGCTGGACTTCAAAACCAGAGTTTTTGGAGATCATTAAAGAGGGTTGGTGTAAGGATGATGCGGCGGGTTATCGTGCATTAATGCATAGACTAGCAAACTGCCGCAAATCGATTGCTCGTCGGAAGAGAGTTTCAAACCAGAATTCTAAAAAAAGAATTGATCACCTGCGTCAAAGGTTAGATGAGGAAGGTATGAAGACACAACCAAACCGTAGTTTGCTGCAAATGCTTAAGTGGGAGTTGGCGGAAGCTTATAGAGAGGAGGAGTTATATTGGAAACAAAAATGCCGTGAAAGATGGCTTAAAGAAGGTGATAGAAACACTAAGTTCTTCCATGGAAGTGTCCAGCGACGGAGGGTTCAAAACAGAATTTTATCTCTCTTTGATGATAATAATTTGGAACAGTTTGCAGAAGATTCCAAAGGAGAAATTGCTGTTGCATACTTCCGGAAAATATTTTCAGGTTCTACACCTGAGGGTGCATCTGAAGCTTTAGATGGGATGGCACCGAGAGTTACAGAAGCAATGAACAATAAGCTAACGCAACCGGTCATAAGTGAAGAAATCAAAGTAGCTGCGTTTAGTATTAGAGGCGATAGTACTCCAGGGGCTGATGGAATGTCGGGTCATTTTTACCAAGCTTATTGGGACATTGTTGGTTCACAAGTAATTAAGGAGGTTCAACAATTTTTTGAATCTGGTATTCTTCCCGCCTAGTGGAATTTTACACAGATTTGTTTACTCCCAAAGAAGCCAAATCCGTCGAAGATGACTGACCTTCGTCCCATCAGTTTATGCTCGGTGATTTATAAAATTGTATCCAAGATCTTATGTGCTAGATTATAGAAGTTTCTGCCCGCTATTGTTTCTGAAACGCAAGGAGCTTTCGCGTCAGGCAGGTTGATTTCGGATAACATTTTATTGGCTCATGAAATGGTTCACGCGTTGCAAACTAATCCAAACTGCAATGAAGATTTCATAGCCATTAAAACTGACATGTCTAAAGCGTATGACCGTGTTGAGTGGAATTTTTTGGAAGAGCTTCTCATTAAGTTGGGTTTTGATATTAGATGGGTGCAATGGATAATGAGTTGTGTGCGTACTGTAAGTTATTCTGTTCTCATCAATGGCGCATCCTATGGATATATCAAACCAGAGCGGGGAATCCGTCAGGGTGACCCGTTATCGCCATTTCTTTTTATTCTTTGTGCGGAAGCCTTAGTTCACATCATGAATAAAGCGGAACAAGATGGACGTCTAACCGGGTTGAGACTAAAGCCAAATTGCCCGTCGATCCAACACTTACTCTTTGTTGACGATAGCCTGTTCCTTTGTCAAGCCACTTTTAAGGAATGCACCGCCTTTCTCCAGTGTTTACAACTGTATGGGAAAGCCACAGGACATGAAATTAATTTTCAGAAATCAGCAATCACGTTTGGGAAGAAGCTGGATCCTTACATGCAACGATTAATTGGCCTTTATACCGGTATTGAGCAAGAAGGAGGGACTGGTAAGTATCTCGGGCTGCCAGAATGTTTTAGTGGCTCGAAGAGAGAGCTTTTGGGGTTCATCACAGATCGTTTGAAGTCCAGACTGAACGGGTGGTATGAGAAGACTCTTTCTTTAGGTGGTAAGGAGGTCCTAATTAAGTCGGTGGCCTTGGCTTTGCCGGTTTATGCCATGTCTTGTTTCCGGTTGACAAAACACCAATGCCAAAAAATCACAAGTGCCATGTCTAATTTTTGGTGGAATGAAAGTGAGGAGAAGCATAAAATGCATTGGGTTTCCTGGGAAAAGATTTGTAAATCCAAGGAGCAAGGTGGCCTAGGATTTCGGGACATTGGCCGGTTTAATCAAGCTTTACTAGCTAAACAAGCTTGGCGGTTGCTTGATGTGCCTAACTCATTATTAGCCAGAGTGTATAAGGCTAGATATTATGCGAATAAATCATTTTTAGAGGCAGCTGTGGGCAATCGTCCATCTTATGCATGGAGGAGCATCATGTTTGGCAAGGAGTTACTTGAAAGAGGTCTTATGAAAACAATTGGCAATGGCCAGTCTACTTATGTATGGGTAGATAAGTGGCTCTTTGATGGTATTCTGCGACGACCAATCAATAAAGAGACGCTAATGGATATAAGTCTCAGAGTTTCCAGCTTGATTACACCACAGGGTGAGTGGAATGTTCCGAGATTAACAGAGCTTTTTACATCGGAGGATGTTATGCATATACGGTCCTTTCCACCGTCACCGCTTAAGCCAGATAGACATGTATGGGCGTATACGAAAGAGGGTCATTACTCTGTGAAGAGTGGTCATTGGTTGGTCAATCGTGAAGCCACTGCAATGGCAGGAATCCCGGAGGATATTAAAACTATCAACAAAGTCAAGGAGAGGATTTGGAAGCTTCAAACAGCTCCTAAAATTAAAATGTTCCTTTGGCGATCCTTATCTGGTGCCTTAGCTGTTGCGGATTGTTTACAGACTCATGGATTAGCAGTTAATCCTATGTGTCCACTATGTCGTGTAGAAGAAGAAACGATAACCCATGTGCTTTTCAAGTGTCCTCTGGCTGCAGCGGTTTGGCACTTAACAACACTACCACATCCAAATCAAGGTTTTGGAGTCTCTATTACAGTGAATATTCAACATGTTTTAAGTTTGATGGAGCGGGCAGATCTTCCTTCAAACACTACAACGGCGCTTCCTTGGCTGCTTTGGGAAATATGGAAAGCCAGGAACTCAACTTTATATGCTGGTAAAGCCAATGATCCTAATTTCGTGTTAGTCACAGCTTTGGAGGCATCGGATGAATGGTTGAAACATTAAGCTATAAGTGACCAAGAGGGTTTGAGGTTGCAGCGACGGAATCCAGGTTTGGTGACACGATGGGTTAAACCGGCTGTGGGTCAATTAAAGTGTAACTTACATGCCTTTTGGGTAAAGAACACTATACACTATGGGGGAGCCTGGTTGGTACGGGATCATAATGGCGAAGTGATTCTACATGCGCGAGAGGCTTTCATTCCAATGGTGAATAGAGTTGCGGCGGAGTTGCGGTGTTTTTTATGGTGTTTACAGAGCCTTCACAATGTTCGTCTATATTCGTGTGAGATTTGGTCTGATTGTAACGCGGCGATTCAAGCGATTGCACAACCACTAGCCTGGCCAAAGTACAGCTCTCTTCTTGACAAAATTTTGCAGGTGATGCAGGGGATGCAGTCTATAAGTTTCAGGCGTTCATCGCCAAAAGCTAATGCTCTTGCTCGAGATATCGCTTCTAGTGTTGTTCGTGAAGGACGTTTTAACTCTTACATAGCAAGAGGAGGACCGGCGTGGCTCCACAATCGTATCGAGGAAGAACGACGAAGAGGTTGAAGAGGCTTCAATTCAGGCTCGGGTGTCAATTTATTTTGCTCTGTTTTTTCTGGGCTCCCTATCTCTGTTTTCATTGTCTCTGGTTTTTCTTGTTTCAAACCTTTTTGGTCATTATCAATATCAGACGTTAAAAAATAAAAAAATATATATATATATATATATATATATATATATATATATATATATAAAACAAATCATTCAATCTTATATGTCATAATAAAGATAATAAAAATTAATTATAACCTTTTAGATTATTTTTTCCTTTTAGGTTACAACCATTTTAATTATTCTTACTGTATTATTTTTATATGTATTAAAATTTGGCACTAATATTTTTATTATTATTATAGATCCCCTTTCTAAACTCGTATCCTCAATTGAGTTACCAATCAATGAGTCATTTTCTGGTTAATATGTTGTTTTAAAAGAAATTTGTTATCTTTGTGAACAAAGAAAACAAAATTTGTTCTCAAAACTATAAGTTTTTTATTTGTAATAAACTTTAATCCTGCGTATATCACAGGTAAAACTTATAGTTATAATTATGAATATTAAATCAAAGGTTGATACGTTGCGTGAAATAATAAAATGTGAATCTTCTCGTTTACTGTATCATTAACAAAAATCTCTCAATTCACTTACATAAATTAAATTTATGAAACCCACTGATGATGATTCTTCTGCTTTGGGGTAGGCCACACGCACTACCTGGTAACATGTATAGCACACTACCCAATACGAGACCGTTCGCTCTCTCATGTGTTTATTTCCCCTTTAAATAGATGTGACAGTGCAGTTATTCGTGATTGGAATATGTTTACTGAGTTTCTTGTGTTCGAAATTAATCAAACACACGATTCTCTTGTAAAACTTAGGTTGAACTAACTTCCCCAACACGTAAGCTCGAGATCTAACGGTGAAGTTTAGCCTCATCGGTACTGGAGCAGGAGGCGCTGGTGGTTCGACGATAACGATGGGTCCTTTCTTCTTCTTAGGTTTTGGAATTGGTGCAGGAGGTGGTGGTGGGACTAAGGTTGAGCCACTTCCATAGAGAGGAATCTTGTCTCCAAGCACATTCACCACCACTGTTCTTTGGCTTTTTCTTGACTGATAAAATTTCTTAATCTACAAAAGTAAAAAGAATAAAGTTCAAAATTGGAAGTGGGTCATCAAAACTATATTGTAAGACCAAATGGTAACAAAATGTTCATATCAAATAAAGCAAAATTGAATTTAGTACAACCAAAGTAGATCAAACTTTTTTATGTGTTTTTTATTCATCAAAAGTTAAATTGAACTACTTCGAATAAAAATCGATTTTTGTCGGTTACACATATTTTAAACACACAAAAAAAACAAAACTAAACACCCAATGTGCACTCCTGATCAACCCCATGTGATAATAGCCACCGACAACATTGATCAAAAACAAACCAAAAACTAAACCGAACCGAAATTTTCCAACCACAACCGAAAAATGTTCGGTTATACATTTTTCAAAACCAAAAAAAAAACAACAAAGAGCATCTGGTGATAGCAACAAGACAACATTGATGAACATGAACTAGACATATTTAAAAGGAGTTTAAGATTTTTGAACTTACAGAGCCAGAACCAATAGTGATCTGAGAGAAGCTAAGATCAATCGGAGAAGAAGTAACATGAACACCAAAGAAAGTACCAGTGTTACGGTACAACATTCTCAGCGTCGCATTCATTGTGATCATATCAGTTCCAATACCTCCGGCATCTTGTCCAGCTTGAACCTTAAGTTGCTCGAACGTTATACTCTGCAAAATTTTGTTCCAACAAACCTAAGCACAACTCTGGATCTAAGCGATCTGATCTCGATCTACTAAGTCAACTCTAGATCTTTTTAACTAACCTTAACAGAGATCTTAGGTTTCTGAGGTTTAGCAGCTGCATAAAGAATCAAAGAGAAGAAAGCAAAGAGCAAAGAGAATCCAACAATGAAAGCTAAGACATAACATCGACGAGGCAAAGGTTCTTGTTCTCTATCTCCATCATCAAGAAGACCTTCTTCTTCAATCATAGCAAACTGTTTTTCTCCAGCGTGGCCTTTGCGTTTTGAGCCATTGATCTTGGAGAATCGGCTTGAGGAAGAGTGAGAATGTGGTGGAGACCCCATTGGGCTGGTGAGGACCGGTGTTGAGTGGAATGATGTTGCTGTTTTCTCTCCATCGTGAGAGTCACGTGATGGAGATTGGACGAAGTACGCGGGACGGCGGGGAGATCTAGTTGGTGATGAAGCTGAGAGGCTTGTCACCTCTGAGTCGGTTTTTGCGTGCATCTTGAGATTGGAATGGAAGATGAAGAAGCAGAAGATGAGAAGGGTGTTGTTATATGATGTTTGTATTTATCTATTGAATTATTTGCCTATTGGTTTATAAATTACTGTAAGGCCTTATAGCATCATGATTCATGATCGCTTTTTTTTTTAACCGATTGGTAATCAAAATTTGTGTGACCTAGTATATAGTTGTTGAAATAGGCAGAAAATTTTGTAATACTTTAGTCTTTTTGTCTTTTTTTTCTTTTTTTAAGTTTTCTCTACTAGCAAAAAAATTTTAAATGATTTTTGGACGGTATTGTTTTTCTAGAGATTTGTCCAAAGTAGTTAGATAATTTAGATTTACGCAGTGAAAAAGAATCTAGATATGACTGCATTATTATGTCATTTAATTTTAACCATATATTTAACTGTTCATTTTAATCTATTGTTACCAATAAAACCTTTTATAGGTTTACCAAGTGAATCATTCCAGTTTGGTTGTTATTTTTCAGGTGACAGACGCATTTACTATAGGAAAAGTTGTAAGCTCTGCATCATCCAAGGTATTAAATGAGGATTGGCCTCGGATCGCGGTTTCCTCGCTGCAAAACCGTTGATAATTTTTGTCTTCCTCTTCCAAAGTATGATCCATCTATTGTCTTGCTCTCGTTTTTGTGGCCTTCTATTGTCGTCTGTCTACTAGTTTCCGGCCTTATCTACTCTTGGTAATGTCCCTGTCTTCTGAAAATGGTATAAAATTTAACATTTTACGAAGAAATAAAATGTACGCCTTAATTCTTTTTTTACATTAAGATGTTTTTATGCATTTTATCTCTGCTTGATTCTAATTTTATGTGTTGCAGTGCAGTTTAAACTCTTATCAATCTGAAAAAAAAAAAAAAAAGTCTTATGGTTAGGTGTTTTGGAATTTATCGCCTTAGCTAATATATCTCTGACTTCTGAGTGAGACAAGTTACTTGGTTTTCGCATGTCTAGAAACTTACCAACCACCTGCAGTTGAGATAGTGACACAGTCAATACCCAATAAATTATGTGTTCATCTATATTTATGATTCTCTTAAATTTCAAAATGTTTTAATGAACAGTGTCCAACACTTTTTCAATATATATATACAAGTATATAACTGCGCATACATCGTAACCTGTGATATGAAACCAGTGTAACAAAAAAAAAATGAAATAGACTACACCAGACCACCAATTTGTTATCTCTACCATCTAATCTGCATTTTCTTGAAGACAACATCGTCATTATCATCATCATCATTACGTAAACGATGGAGGAGGCAGTTTCCAGAAATTCCATGTGTTAAAGTCCTCCTGTTTATAAATGTTCATCAGAATCCGAACCATATACATCTTCTTTTGATGAAATAGACAAATTAAATTTCGAGATATATATACCGGTTCTGAAGAGGTTGTAGCTGGGAACATTCCGTTGACAAGAGCATGAAGATTTGTGTACGATCTTGTATCAATCCTACGATTCACTGCTACTTCTCCCTGCAATTCTCACAAAACATTGATTATCGCCAAATTTTGCGTTTGCGTGTTTATATATTTGCATTTTGAGATTACAAAACATTTTCAGTATTTCATACAAAGTACTAAAAGTCATGGTATCGTAAACGCAAAAGCAAAACGCAAACAAACAATCAAGTCCTCCAAGCCTAAGGCATATAGTTTGTTCCATAAAATGTTGCTAATGCATTTTTCATTTTAAGAATGTACCTTTGGGTTAATTATGAAGATCTTTCCTCGGGGGATTCCTACTTTGAGGTAGCTTATCTCATCTGTGTCTCTGTTTCCAAAACCAGCATAGAATGGGTTGTGTTCAGGAGGAAACAATGCCCGTATTTCCTGTGACATATGGGAAACAGAAAACTTTAGTTATAGAATTCACCGAGATTTTTAACCATGATTTATTGAGAGTTCAATAGAAGGAAACCGCATAATACAAACCTCCAAGCAAGCAATCTTGAATTCATGAGGTGCTCTTCTAATTACTAGAGAGGAAAATTTAAAAATAAGAAGCATATAATCAAGAATCAACAAATCAAGAAATATGTTTGATTATGTTGCAGAGGAAACAGATTACCTTCCCGAAACAACGACGGAAAGAGGCCATCAGGAGAGATAACAACAGGCCCATCCGGCAATGCTTTTCCATCCTGGTATTAGCAACTAAGATTAACAAGAGTACGGTAGAAATTGGAACTCTGAAAAGTTGGAATGCATTGTGTCAAATTACCTGCTTGAGATTAACTAGAAATTGTCTTGTGACTGAGGCCTGAGAAATCGCACGTGCACTTAAAAATATCAACTGATATCCATTTTCCTGTAGAAATGTTAGGGAGAGAAAATGAATCTTTGCTTTTGCCCCGTTGCTTCCACGCTATTATCATTTTTAAGATAGAACAAACAAAGTACTTGGGATAACAAACCTTTACAGCCGAAAATAAATGTGTGACACCTGTTTGTGACCAATCTATACCAACCAAAGGCATAAACTGGCCTAAGACATCCGATCTATGACAAACAAAAATATAAACCAGAGAAAGAAAGGAAATCAGAAACAGAAACAGGTCCTGGATTTCGCTAATAATATGCAAACATAATATAAAACCACAGGTGCTTTACCTTGTGATGGTACCATCTACATCTGACACTACTATGCGAGAATTCCATTTCCATAAGTAAATCCTTGCGTCTACCTGTTGCATTAGTGAGTTTGTGAACACCAAGTGGAAACTCTTGACAGTTATATGACAAACATGTCGTAGTAAAGGAAAAGAATGACCTGTTGGGTACCCACAATATTGGTGGAGAACGTAAAAGTCACGGAATTCATTCCTTCTTTCAGATCTAGAGAAGCTAATTGTTCAGAAGTTGGAGTTAGTGCCCTGACCGTCTTTTTCACTGGTCTTGGCGACGACTTCTCTTGTTTATCTTCAGGTTCAGCTGTATCCCCAGAAGAAGAAGCTTCAGTATCGTTCCTTGATCTTCTGAGAGAGAAAGGCCAAAGCTTCCAGCTTCCACTGCCTTGAGCTAATACATCACCAGGTTTCTCATTCCGGTCAACAGCTATCATACCCTTGGGTTCAAATACTTGGGCAGTCCCAAATGAAACCACTCCTAAGATAATAGGAGCAGCTGCATCCCATGGAAAGTAGCAGCCACCAATCTTCACGATAAGCTTATCGTTCTCCAGGATTGATGGGCCCAAAGAAGCAAACTTTTCCATATCCAGTTTTTCGGAAATGAAAGCCTGAGAAGCTGCTTCTGCTCCCATTCCTTCACTTAATAAGTGCTTGCAGAGAGAGAGCTCGACTGAGAGTGGAGATAGAAAGTTAGACTATAGCATCATAATTCATAACAACCAAACAATTTTAGTAAAATTTGATCCCTCATCATATCTACAGAGAGAAAAATAAAAAAGGTTAACAAGTTATATTTCCTTACCCACTTCAGGATTAGCGATAACATGATTGAATGCCTTTAATTTTGGGCTACCCTCAGCAACGTTTTCTGCATCTAAACCCCCCGAGCTCGACTCATCTTCTCTCAAATCCAACTTTGAAGTATTGAAACATGGGTCAAATGACTGGCTCAAAGGCTGAGAAGGACTGGCATCCATATCATCGTTGTTTTGAAGCCGCATAATCGGTAATGATCCTACTAACCGCTCCATCTCATCTGTAGAAATATCCTTTTTCCTCTCTATGTTAATCGGCTCTGACAAGGCGATTGAGTTCTCCACGACCACGCCTTTTTCAGGACTAGTTTCAATTTCATCGTAACTCTCTTTCCCATCAACTTTTACAGTATCAGGAGAACTTGACCCTTCAGAACTATTACCACCAGGTTTACCTTCGTCAAGATCGCTAAAGGAAAATTGTTCTTCTTCTATCTCTGGTTGCAGGATGCTTTCTCCACTTGCTGACTGAGACTTCTCAAAATCTCTTGCCGAGATATGCATATCGTTTATGGTGATCTTATTTTCATCTTGAACTGAAGAGCCAGTGCTACTTCCTTCTTGAGAAGTGCCAATGCTCCCTAAATCCGCTTGGTCAGCTGAACCCACTGTTACAATTTCCACAGATTCAGGAGCACTTAACAGTTCTTGCTTCGGATCCAGAACACATCCAGTAACAGAATCCTAGTGGAGATACAAATTATACAAGACATCAGTCCCATAAATTCGATAACCTTCTTATTTTACTTCCGAAGCTAATAATCTAGCATTGCCAGGAAAATGAGAATGATTAAATGTAGTAACTAACCTGTGCAAGTGTCTCGGTTCTTGGTTCGACAAAGATCTCTACGTTTCCACTCCCTTCACTAGTAACGGAGAACCCCATACTCGATGCTTCACATAAACCGTTTTCAACAACTCCACTTGATACATTCTCTTCACAATAATCTTCCACATTAGTGCTTTCACGAAAATCCTGCTCTTTCTCATCAAGAAACCGCAACGTAGGAGATGCAACAAGAGGAGTCTCCAATATCGAATCGCTATCAACTAACATCTCCGAGCTACCCACAACACAAGATTTGCCACTAGTACTACTCTCACCACTCCCTTTACCATCCAAAGACTCAGAAGATTTACCTTTTCCACACTTACGCGTATCGATATTAGTAGACCACTTAACGTCCAATAAATCAGCAGCAATCTCAGCTCTCTCAATAGAACTAACACCACCATCTTGACTCTCCCTAACCGATCTCCCACCAAACACAAACCCTAAAATCCCAGGCTTACCAACAATCTTCCCATTACCACTACGAGGACTAGGGGAATCATAGTTACAACTCCTAGACTTCAAAGGAATCTTAACCTTATCAACAACATCATCACCCATCTTAGACGTCGTCTCAGCTTCATCACCAGAAGACAAAGTATAAACTTCACCACTCTCAGATTCACCAACAACATCTTCAACTTCTCTAAGAAAATAAGCTTGTCCTGTATGAGCTAAATACATATTGAAACCAGAATCAACACCATTAACCTCAATCTTGATCAAATTCCTTCTATTCTTCAAAACCCCTTGAAATTTCCCAAATCTAACATACCAAGGAGACGATTTAAATGTTCCATCAGGTTGTTCAACAACGATAATGTCAATCGCACCACCAAATGGATGAAACGGACCTGAAACCGTACCTACACCACGGTAGATATAGCTTCCGATCCTACCTACAGCATTCATTTTTCCGACAAACCCAGATCGGAAAAGTCAACGAAAGTTACGATCTTTGACACAAATTTGGAAACTTTATGATGATGTGGATCGATCAATCATGGTTGGTAAAAATCGAAACTTTGAATGACCCAGAAACGGAGAAGAAGAGAAATGGTTAGAGGAAGAATCAAAAAGGTATATTCTGTAAGAAAGATCCAGAGAAGGAGGAGGAGACAGAGACGAAGATCATCATTAATTCTTGCCGCCGGACATTATTTGTTTCGGTGGGGTTCGTTTCGTAGTGATCCAATTCCACACCCTTCTTCTTTCTTAGTCAATTTTATTTTAAAATATATAATTTTATTTGTCAATAGTCGTTAATTAATGTTTTTTTTGGTAAGTGTCAGTAATTAATGTTTCGACCAAGGTTTAGATTATGTGAATCCGTTCAGACAAAAAAAAAATAAAAAAAATTGTGTTAATCTGCAAAGAGATCAATGTATTTGCCTATTTGGCGTAGTAGCGGATAAAGATCGGATGCAGATAATTTGGATATATTAAACTTCAATCCAAAAAATTATAGATGTGAATCCAAATGCTCATTAAATCAAATAAGGAGGATTAGATTTAGTTATGCAAGTTTTAAATAATTCTATTAACATGCTATTTGAGATATAAGATAAAGTAATGAGACTTCAAAGTTTTTATTTGTTTGTGCAAAACCTTGGTTTTCATCTTCAATGTTTAAGATAACAAAATTAAAAGCGATAAAAAAATATGATAATTAGATGATAGTTCGGAGACAAGGATTGTAAAGTATAATGTCACATACGAGAAGATGGTAAATCGGAGACACAACCACAAATAATGTGAAGTAAAAGATTGGCCATTGTCGAAAGACATGATGACGTTGAAGAAAAATCTGTAGCCTCGAGTCTCGTGGGCACAAGACATATAAAATATGGTGATAAGGGTATTAAGGAGTTCAAGAGATTTTTTTGGTATACAAACCGAAAGCCAACCACGAAACTTGTTTAGCAAAGTTTCATAAAGGAAGACCAAAAATAATGTGTGTGGAGCGTCGTCAACGAAGTGCAACTAACGGTTTAATATGTATACCTTTTGTCGTCAATGAAGCCTCGTGAATTGAACATTATAGATAGACCATTAAGAGCATCTCCAAAAGGGACCTCATATTTGAGGTTTTCCAAACTTCAAATTTGAGGTTTAAGGTTGTGTCTTTGCAAAAGAAAACCTCAAATTTAACTTCAAATTTTTTTGTATTTTGCATAATAGTCCTTGCTATTGATTATAATTGCAAAATACCATAAAATTTTTATAAATAACAATAAAACATATATTAAAATATTGCAAGTAATATTAATTATTAATATATTACAGTATAAAATAAAATTGCACAAAATAATAATAAAACACACAAACAAAATCATAAAATAAAGCTAAATTACCAAATTATCGAACCTAAGTATTTCTGTAATGCTTCTATATATAATCAATCCATGCATTTAAAAGAGTTAGATGAGTCTCTTTATTTTTTATTTGTATATTACGAAATAAAAATTATTGACATCGAGTATTTTCGTTTATTGCCATAAACTTTTAAAGACTAATATGTTAAAATATCAAATTAGTGGAAGTATTTATAAGTTAGAAATAATTGCGATGACCAAAATGCAAATAAAAAGATGAAACCTCAAATTTGAGGTTTTGAATAGTGAAACCTCATATTCAAAACCTTAAAATTTGAATTTTTGAAGTTGCCTTTGGAGAACCAAAAACCTTATATTTGAGGATTTGAGGTCTCCTTTGGAGATGCTCTAAGATCAGATAAATATTGGTGTGAATTGAAGATCTAATACCTGGTTCAGAATTTTATTCATACCGGCACGGATTTTTACCTAATGTTAATGAAAGTTCCGTCAATTATTAACAAACTAGATCATGACCCGCATGTACGTGCGGGTTTCATATTTAAAAACAGATGTTGTATAAAATTTACATTCAATATAGTTTTTTGCTTTGTTTTAGTGATATATATTGTAGTATATATATTATAATAATATGTACAAAGAAAATTGTAGAATTCACAAAAATGAATTTAATTGAAAAAAAAAAGTCTTTATTAATAGAAAACTGGAACCTTTATTAATAGGAAACTGGAATCTTAAAAAAATGAAAACCAAATAAATTGACATGAAAGTCATTATTGCTTGTCCAAATAAAAATAATTAATTAGAAACTTAACCAAAAACCGAAAAAAATAGATTCATCCGTCAATAATTTTACATACATGAGAAAAATCTCTAGCCACATGAATTATGTTTGATCTCCAACGGAGAGATGTCAAAGGAGTTTGATACTGATCTTTTACTTGTAAATCAATTAAAGAGTTAGAATAAATATCTATACATTTTAAACAGGGATAATCTCTTTTACAAAGGATAATATACCTTCCATGTATAATGTATTGATTTTGGAGAGGCAAATTATACACACCACCACCTCATCACCAGCATTCTGAGAGATCTCCCCTATATAGTACATGGTAAATATTAAAACACGTGAAAAAAAAAATACCTTAGAATCTCTAACTTCAAACTACATTTTTTTATAGGCTTGTTAGAAACACCTCAAGTTTTCATTTTACCAATACTATTTACATGACCGAGTGTTAAAAAAAAAAACAATTGCAAGTAATGTTAGTAATCGAATAAGCTTCTTTCAAATTAAAATATAAACATACTTATATAATTACCAATCAAGAAAATGAGAAATATAAAGCAATAGAAGGAAAATAAGAGATGATTAGTGAGTGATAAACATGCAAACATACCCTCTATTTATATCATCAAGAAAGTCAGCATTTAAAGGAAAAAAATAATTCGTAGAAGGTTTTTTGAAACAAATTTGCAGAATATGCTTCATTTTTAGGATAACAATCTTTAAGTAAGATTATTTTGAAGCATATATTGTTTATTTCAATAGAATATAATATGGAAAACTACCCTAAAAACTTGGAGATTACGTAAATTAATTTGTAAAGTCAATATTCGGAAATTTATAAGAAACTTAATCGCTGATGCTAATATTTGAAATTAATAATCCATAAAAACATAGATTACATAAATTAATTAAATAAGAATATTGGTGTGAGTCAATATTTTCTCAATTTCAAATATTTGTATTAAAAATTTAAAAAATTGTTTACATTTTATTTTAATGTTTTTGAAAAGATCGAATTTAGAAGAATGTATATTCCAAAAGCTTGTAACAATTTGATTTTAAAGAGATAAATTTATATGGCTCTAAAAATATAATTTGGAGATATAGTAACTATTATAATACATTTTAATATATAATTCAAATTTAATTTAGTTATATATTTTTAATATAGTGAAAACTACCCGTTTAGGAAAAAAATTCAAATTTTTATATCATTTAAATTCTGATTAAAATTTAAAATATTTTAATCTATACTGTAAATATTTTCTGGATATTTACAAATCTAAAATCCAAAAATTATTTGTTGAATATGGTATATTTTAAAGTATGGAAGTAGTTAGTTTAGATAATATATGACAAATATGATAAATATTTATTATATTTGGAAAATCAAATTTTAAAATCTTTATTTTTCATGAGTTTAATCAGAATTAATTAGCATAGTTTTGTTAAGGAAATTTTGAATTTCATATTAAATTAGATTATCGTTTCCCAAATTATCTAATAATATATTATCAAAATAAATAAGTTTTAATATATACAGTTTCAAATCAAATATCTTGATTTGTTATGGCATCTTCCTTAAACGATTTCCAAAGATATAGGATAGTTATTAAGTTATTGATTTAATTTTGGATTTTTTTTTAATCCAAGATCCGCGTGTCTATCCGACTATACCAACGGGTCAACCCAAGATCCGCTGGCATTTTATGATCAAATTGTCTTAATTGTCCTTTTTTTTATCTTTTTTTTTTTCTTTTTTAAATTTTAAAAAACCAATGGCATCCTACCTAATATTTTACAATTTAAATATCTTTTATTATTTAGTGATTCCCAATTAATAGTATAGATTAAAAAATTTAAAAACAATTTATCATTTAAAAACGGATTCTTACCTAGTGTTAATGAAAGTTCCGTCAATTACAGATGCGCGTATGTTTCACGCTCCTAGTTATTGGCCGTTCGTTCATCTTTCTAATTTTCCAATGCTCGACGGGTCACATCGCAAGCTGATTGTTTCTCTGTTTGTTTCCTTCAAAATATTTCCGTTCTAATGATGTAACTATCTCATACAACCTCAAATTCAGACATCATTTGTATCTCTTTTGTCAGATTTAAGGTATGTTGTCCGAAAAACTCATTCTCACATTAACTAATCCAATTCTTGGTTTCATCAAAAAAAAACAAGAAATGCGATGAATTTGAATTTGACCATGTAAACAGGAACAACAACACATGACCAGTTTCTGATTCAGAATCATCACAATGTTGGGCGATGACAAAGATTCAGACGACCTTAATTTATTTCTCAATGCCATTGGTGAAACTGGAGATGAACAAGGTCCAACGAGAATCTCCACGTCTTTCAATGATATAGACTTCTTGACATTCGACGATGATGATTTACATAATCCATTTCAAGATTGTGATTCAAGTCCAATCAACGAACCTTCTAGGGTTTATGTTGCACCAAGGGTGATGATAAGTCATCAAGATTCGTTTTCTGAAGATTCAAGAATCGATGTTATTGAAGATGCTAGGATTTTGCCTGCTTCCCCTCGTCTTAGAGTTCCTGCTTCTCCTCGAGCTTTTGTGTATCCAAGATCTGTTGAATCGCCTCGTTTCGGTTCTCCGAGATCTGTCGAATCACCTAGTTTCGGGTCTCCTATTGGTGTTATCGATACAGCTTCGCCTTTCGAATCGGTTAAAGAAGCAGTTTCTAAGTTTGGTGGGATCACAGATTGGAAAGCTCATAAGATTCAGACAATAGAGGTTTTAATTGAGCTTTTGTTCCTTCACATGAACATGATGAGATCTTGATTTTGACAAAATGTGTGTTCTTGATTTGTGTTTCAGAGACGGAAGATGGTAGATGAAGAGCTTGAGAAGATACAAGAAGCAATGCCTGAGTACAAAAGAGAAGCTGAGTTAGCTGAAGAGGCGAAACACGATGCGTTGAAGGAGCTAGAGAACACAAAGGGACTGATTGAGGAGCTAAAACTCGAGTTGGAGAAAGCAGAAAAGGAAGAGCAACAGGCGAAACAGGACTCGGAGCTTGCGCAGATGCGTGTGGAAGAGATGGCGAGAGGTGTAGCAAATGAGGCAAGTGTTGCTGTTAAAGCACAGCTCGAGGTAGCGAAAGCGAGGCAAGTCTCGGCTACTTGTGAGCTACGGTCTGTGAGAGAAGAGATTGAAATGGTTAGTAATGAATATGAAGATATGTTGAGGGAAAAAGAATTAGCTAAGGAGAGAGCTGATATTGCTGTTATGGAAGCTAAAGAGATTGAGAGAACAATGGATGGTTTGAGTATAGAGCTGATTGCCACCAAGGAGTTGTTGGAATCTGTGCACACGGCTCATCTCGAAGCGGAAGAGAAGAGATTCAGTGTGGCAATGGCTCGGGACCAAGATGTTTACAACTGGGAAAAGGAATTGAAGATGGTGGAAAATGATATCGAGAGGCTTAACCAAGAAGTTCGTGCGGCTGGTGATGTGAAAACAAAGCTAGATACTGCTTCTGCTCTTCAGCATGATTTGAAGGCTGAATTAGCGGCTTTCACAGAAAATGCAAGCGGTGATCTGTTGACGGAAAAGAAGAGTAATAATGACATACATGCGGCTGTTGATTCTGCGAGAAGAGAGCTTGAAGAAGTCAAAGCCAACATTGAAAAAGCAGCTTCAGAGGTGAAAACATTGAAGATAATTGCTGGATCATTACAGTCCGAGCTTGGAAGAGAGAGACAGGATCTAGCAGAAACTAAGCAGAGAGGAACTGTGGGTTCGGTTCAGACAAAGGGTAAAGAATCAAGAGAGGAGTTAGAGGATACAGCAAAGAAGTTGGAGCAGGCGACGAAAGAGGCAGAGGATACAAAGGCATTTGCTACAGCTGCTAGAGACGAGCTTAGAATGGCGAAGGAATTGTCTGAGCAAGCGAAAAGAGGAATGTCTACGATAGAGAGTAGGTTAACTGAGGCGAAAAAGGAAATGGAGGCTGCTAGGGCTTCAGAGAAGTTAGCCTTGGCTGCTATAAAAGCTCTGCAAGAGACTGAATCTTCTCAGAGATTTGAGGAGATTAATAATTCACCAAGAAGCATCATAATCTCTGTAGAGGAATACTACGAGCTAAGCAAGCAGGCACACGAGTCCGAGGAGGAGGCAAACACAAGACTATCAGAGATTGTCTCCCAAATAGAGGTGGCTAAAGAGGAAGAGTCAAGAGTCTTGGAGAAACTAGAGGAAGTGAATAGGGAAATGAGCCTAAGAAAAGAAGAGCTTAAAGAGGCTAATGGAAAAGCCGAGAATGCTAGAGACGGGAAGTTGGGTATGGAGCAAGAGTTAAGAAAATGGAGATCAGAAAATGGGAAAAGGAGAACAGACGAAAGCAGGGAGCCTAAGAAAAGTCCGACGAGGTCAAGCACCGAGGGGAGAAATAAGGAGAACGGACTTGGGCAGTCAAAATCGTTTGCATTTGGTGATCAAGGAAGCAGCAGCAACTACACTGGAGGAGGTACTACTACTACTACCAATAATAATCTGACTCCTGAAACAAAGAAGAAGAAGAAGAAGCTTTCTTTGTTTCCAAAAGTTTTCATGTTCTTGTCAAGAAAGAAGTCTCACAGTCGCAAGTGAAAAAAGTTGCATACCTTTTTCTTTTATCTTCAAAATATATGGTTTGTTTTTTGTTTTATTACACCAACAAACAATGCAAACAATAATGTATGATTATGTTAATTTCACTTATAGGAAATAAAGGTATTGATACACACTTGCCAACAGTAAGATGTTCAAAGAGAAAAGATTCATATTATTAAAACCCAATACCAATTTTTTGTTCCAAAGATAAAGAGAATACAAAAGATACTTGAAGAGAACTTTATTTCTGACTAGTTCTTTAACATAGCTTTTAAAAATTCCACCTCTCTACTAAAAAGCCAACCCCTTTGAAGACATAAATTGAGCTTGAGTTTAGGGTTTGCTGCAATACCATTCTTTTTGTGCTCACAACTTCGAAGGCTTTGGGAAGATGTCGGGGGTGAACTTCTGCGCAGCACTGAGACTACCCTTGATCTTCATCGCCCCCCTGCATCAACATTCAACATTCACAAAATTCAGAGATCAACTTCTAAAGATTGTCGTAAAGACAGAAGATAAAACAGCTAAACATACTTGTAATGCTGAGTAAATGACATATGAAAGGATTCAGAGATCCATTTTTTGGACCAAACCCAAGTCACAGATTTTGTTGGTTAGACATAAGATAAAACTGCTAAAGATAGTTCTGTATTGCAAAAGAAGTGACATATTTCAGGATTCAGAGATCAACTTCTTGGACCAAATACAAGTCACACAAAAGCTTATAATGGTAGATTGTGGTTCAGACACAAGATAAAATTTTGGAGAAAGCTTGAGTTTGTTGGATTCTGTGGTTCAGAGACCTGTTAAAACTGCTAAACATACATGTGTAATGCAGAGTAAATGAGATACTGAGAGGAATGAGAGAATGAACAAACCTGATGAAAGCAATCTGAGGATTCATCTTCCCAGTAGCAACTTTGACAAAATCATCATCCTTGAAGGAAAACGTCGCATCCACTTTCCCTCCTTCATATTTCCCTAAATTTCAAAGATCAACCATAAACAAAAAGTCGAAAAATCAATTACTTATCATCTTGAACAAAAATTTCAGTTTCTCTTCATTTGAATTCACAATTGCAATAATCAACAAGAAAAGCCTAACCTTTAGTGTAAAATCATATTTCAAGATTCTCTTTTTTGAATTCTCAATTGCCATAATCAACAAGAAAAAGCTAACCTTTGGTGTAAAAATCAAATTTCAAGATTCTCTTTTTTCTAAATTCCCAATTATTTTCACTTTTATCATAAATCAAATTTTCAGATTCTGCTTATTGAATTCCCAATTGCCATAATCCCAAAATCAAATTTTGCCATAATCAAAACGAAAAAGCTAACCTTTGGTGACTTCGCCTTTCTTCAGATCAACGATGTAAGTAACCTCCTCAAACCCTAATTTCTGAAACTCCAAATCTTTCACAATCAACATAAAAACAAAACAGAGGAACATAAAGATAAATGATATTCTAAAAAAAAAGAACCAACCTTTGGAGCAATGTTAATCTGATAAACAAGACCGATCTTCTCCGTGAGATCTTTCCCGGCGTCGGAAGAGAGATGTTCCTTCATCATGTCCATGATTGCATCAGATTTGAGTTGGGTATTCGCCATTTTTTTTGAGCAGTGTAGTGAAATCGGTGAAAGATTGGGATTTTTAAGGATGGAGTTAGGTTAATGGAGACAAAGGAGATGACGTGATCGATAAGTATGGAAAGATTGAGATTTTTGTTACAGACTGGCACGCTTCCCTATTAGCTTATTTCGTTGCTCATGATTTCATTTTTTATCTATTTCTATTTTGGGGGAGATTTAGCAGAGTAATATGTTGACCAGAAAACATAGAAACAGAGTACTAATTTGTTTCAGTTTTTATAATTGTTGAATAAACCTAAACCGGGTATTGGTTGTGGATTACAAATTGACATTGGATAAAAGAACCGATTGAACCGGAACCGGACAAAATTAACCCAATAATTTGTTTTTTTTTTTGGTCACAATTATAATTATATATTATTTTAACATAGTATTTAGTTAATATATATAATTATTAAAATATTTCATGTATATGAGAAATGTTCCAAATATTTTAATTAGTTGAAGCATTTTAAATTTTTATTATTATAGCACAGTATTTGGGTTTTCTATATAAATTGTATATTGTATGTATTTTTAATAGATTTTATGTTAAACCGCTATTATAACTGCTGTCAACTACTCACAAATCATTCACGAACGCGTCCGTTTTCACTGATTGCAGCAGTCATTTAAATCGCTTGAAATCGCACCAGTAACCATCGCATTTTAACCAATCAGAGTATCAGACCGTCAAAAGCTTTTTATTTATCCCTGGTGTTAGAAAAACATATTTGATGGACTCAATGATTAAACCCATTAGCATAATGGGTTGATTCAACTTAGTGGCCCAAAAGTCTCTAATACACAATCACAAAAACATTCGTCTTTTCACTCACTCGCCAGATCGACTCTTCCTCTTGTGAGACATAGCGCCGGCCCAAGAAAACAGAGAACCTTTGTGATTTTTGTTTTTGAACCTTTTATCATAAATATAATATATTTTTACTATTTTTCAATTAATTTTTTTGGTGTTTTATTATGAAAACAAAATTAATTTTAATATATTGGGATTATTCAAATTTTGTTTTTGAATTTTGGATCTTTTATATTTATTTTTTGGATTATACTTAATTATTTTGAAATAAATATAAACTTTTCTGTGTTTGTTTCTTATAAATAAAATGAAAGCTTTGTGCCGTCCCACCATGTGGACCGGGCCTGAGTCACCTACTTATTCTCTTCTTGATCCTATTCACTCTCCTCTCTTATTCCTACATTTTTCTTCCAAATTCAAGTACTCTTAGCTAATTAGCTACAATTAATCAAGGTTTGATTCCAACACATAGAACCCTTAGCTAATTAGCTTTATCCAAATGGACGCCGTTTGTGTAATAATCGTCTCAAATTTTTTATTTCATTTTTCCTTATTCGACAAACCACTTTTATTATTTATGTGAACCACATAAAAGAAAATTATGGAACTTGAAATTATATACCATAGTGGTAACAACACTAAACCATCAAGTTAGGGATATATGAGGAAAAAACTTGTAACTAAAGATAGTAATTTTGACTTATAGTTATGCAAATATATACATTACAAAATTCTCCTTATAAAAGCTTCACGATCTGACCTCTCAAGAAACAGACTTCAAATTTATGTCATGTTCCAGGAGTTTATTAAGTGGAACAACCTATGCCAAGGAAAAATTTGGATCAGTAAACTCATCACATTCAGTGATATGATCAAACTAATAGTAGAGGGAGAAGTTACCTGATCGGTACTCGGCGATTCACTCATCACTGTCTTCATCTTCTTCGAGCTTCCATTTTCGCCTTTTGTTCCTTCGTTGACAAAGTTCTGATCCGATACCTCTGCTTTAAAACATCACAAGACAAATTTAGACTAGAAACAACATATTTGAACATCGGAATAAAACCCGTTTTTGATAAATTAATACCTTCTCCAACGCTGATTTGGTCGTGGTCACGCGAATGAGAGCATATCTGCTTGAGATTTGAGGCTGAACCAGAGCTGCATATAACTATTACCTTCTTCCCATTTGAGCTGCTAACAACTTGATTTTCGGGCTCATCCGTTACCGAAATTTGCGTCTTGACTAACGGTTTATAATGCTTAATCCACGGACTCCTAAGAAACTCATGAGAACTACCGTGTCTTCCGTTAATCCGATGTTCAGGTTGTTTCACATTAATCTTCTGCCAAAAACCATCATGAAGAACCTTGAACTAATAATACCAAAAACATACATTTCAATGATCTCAAAATCTTCCAACATTAACACATCATCATCTCTTAAAAAAACGTCTCATACCTGCTCTTGAGACGGTTTTCTACCGCTACCGAACCTCGTCGATTCCGATACATTCTCGTTCTTCCCTAGAGCTCCGAGAGAGTTATATAACTGATCTACGAATGAAGCTTCCATAGATTTAAGATATAACCTATGCTTCTCATTGGTCCATTCTGTTTCCATATACTCTTTCCCCGCAGAGTACTACATACCACAAAGTTTAGAAAGAATAAAAACTCAGTTATTACAAAAATGATGATTTTGACACAAATTTTTCATCACACAACTCCAAAAATCTTGTAGATTTTTTTTTTTTTTTTTTTGATAACTCAGGTGATCCTAAAGGCTTTTGAGACCCAAACAACTAATTATCTCTACAATGAACCATGACCATGGCAAAGAAGTAACCAAATTCATCAACAATACTGAAACCAAACAATTCATGTTTATTTGTTCGATTAAACTCTTCATTTTCTACACAATAATCAACAAAACACAAACTAGTTCTATCAAAAACGTTAAATCGCCGTGAAACTTCAGATCTGAGAAGCAAAAACGGAAGAGATTCCGATTCGGGTGAAGAAAACCAGACATGCAATAATAATAAGAAAAACAAAAACATGGAGTATATTATGAATTCATACCATGGAAGAAGTGGTCTCTCCCTCCACGGAAGAAGCGGTCTCTCCCTCCACGGAAGAAGCATCGTCGGAAGAATCGTCAGAGTCGTCGGAGCAACGACGGCTACTAAAGCGTCCTCTGTAATCACCAGCCATTGTTGGCTTATCTTTGTGGAGAGAGAGAGAGAGAAGGAGAAGAAGAAAATATCAAGAGGGAAAATATCAATACAGTTGTAGACGCTTTTACACGTGGGTAAAGTTGCCACGTCATCACTAGTCAAGTTGGCGGAATGAAACTTTTTTTTGCTAACAAAAAAAAATATCAAAGATATTTTCTTCAACATAGTATCTTCCACCGTCCTCTCACTTGATTATTCTTTTTTTTTTCTTCTTTTTGTTGCTTTTGGTTTAACTTCTTTGACTTTTCTTTATTTGTTTATTATGTTTATATTGTTTATCGAATAGAAAGTCGACAACGCATCTTTATAAATAGTTTTATGGGAAAACGGTCTATTTCACCACGAGAAGTATCACATCATAACAGATAGAGCCCAAACTTTGACCCCGGTCCTAATGTCTCTAAAACCATAGTTTGAAGCCTAAATCTCCCTAAATCCATAGTTTTCACCTAATTACCCATAAATATTGGTTTTGCTCGGTTTAGTGTTTACCAAACAAAGATGAACCAACTAAAAACGAAATTAAACCAATTCAATCCAATAACAACTAATTGAACATGACCCGACCAAACCCACCCAACCCAACTTTCTTCTTCACCCTATTAGTTTTCTTCATCTTCTTCCCTCTTCTGTTTTTTTCTTTCTTTCTTTTTGAATTCATTATCTTCAATCTCTTGAGTTTTGATGTGACTTGAAGAGTATAAATCTAATAACCTTTGAAACTAGATTATATTTTTCATGATTTTTCAAATCAAATCCTCAAAAAGACGAATCATTTACATATTGAAATCAAAACAAATTGAAATCTATACCTCTTTCCATATATCAAATTGAGAGAGCATCTGTTTCATTACCCATTATGAAATCAAATCAACCAAATTAGGCGTAAATTAAACACATATAATTGATGAATTTATGCTCCTGTCTCATTCTTAGATCACGTTTTGCTTTCCGATCTCTCCAATGGAATTCGCCATTGCGTCTTTTACGTATCTTCTCTGCTCCTCCGAGAGGCCAGATTCCACGACGTTTCATCATCTTCCATGATTCCATCTTAACCACCGGATCCGCCGCTCCGCCAAATCCACCTCCATATCCGCTTCAAAAATCAGATTTGGTTAATCTCATCAATCTCAGAGATCTTCATTGCGAAGAAGAGAGACTAATTGAAGCTTATCAATATTTTCAGGTGAAGAAGAAGAAGTTGGATCGGGTTGGGTTAATTTTGATAATTTTGGGCAAAAAACTGGTTTAATCTGAGATGGTGGTGAATTAGCAGAGATGTTGAAAGATTTCCCTGCTTGTGAACGCTTGGGGACATGCCGTAGCTGTGGGGATGCAAGGTTTGTGCCTTGTACTAACTGCGACGGAAGCACCAAAGTGTTTGAAGAACAAGACAAACGGTTCAAGCGATGTCCTAAATGCAATGAGAATGGATTGGTGCGTTGTCGTGTGTTGTCTCTAAGTGATCTGTTTGATCAAAAGCTGTGTGGGTGAAAGGGGATTTTGGGTTTAGAGTCTTAATCGGGTCGGGTCGCAATTGGGCAAAAAACTGGTTTAATCTGGTTATAATTAGGTTTACTTGGTTCGTTAATCGGTTTTGAATACAGTAAACCGATTAAACCCAGTTCTGTGTGGTATTAGCTCTCGAACTTTCGATTCGGGGACATTTAGGTGTTGAACTTTCGTCTCGCGGGGAAATAGGAATTGAACTTCCATTTCAGAGACATTAGGATCGGGGTCAAAGTTTGGGCTCTATCTGTTATGATGCGATACTTCTCGTGGTGAAATAGACCGTTTTTCCTAGTTTTATAGATAACTTTTTTTTATTTGTTTATTATGTTTATATTGTTTATCTAATAGAAAGTCGACAACACATTCTTAGATCTTTATAAATAGTTTTATAGGTTACCTTTTTTAATACGGCATTTTAGATATTTTTTATAGGGGAGATTCACTTTTCATATTAGAATAATAATAATTGCATCACATGCAATGAGATTAAGGATGACAATGAAAATAGAAATAACTTGACTAATATATGTCCTCTTTTGGTCTTTTGGAAGACTTTTGTATTCTGAGACATTTTTGGTTTTATGAACGTTTGATTTATTAAATTCAAATCTATCAAATTTTTTTTTTTCATCAGATATAAATATATTATTTATAGTTTTATATTATGTTAGAAAATATTTATTCATGTGAATATTAAATTAAAATATTTAATAATATTATTGTAAACGTAAAATTTAATAAAATATCACGCTAAATTTTACCTAAAAATAAATTTAGAATAATTATTAAAAAACATATTCAATTTTTCTGTTTAAGAGAAATGGTAAGATAAAGAGTGGAAACATAATCTTAAGCAATTGAAAAAAAAAATTCTTACATTTTAGTTTAAGATAGATCTATGCTTTTCAAGATAGGTTATACAAATGATCAGTTTGGATCAATATAAATTACTCTACCTTGTAAGAGTACATGTTGAGTAATTCTTTGAATATATAATTATAAATTACCTATTTAGGTATTTAAAATTACCCATAATATTAAGAAACTGAAAAACCCTAAAATTTTAGTTTAAAATAGATCTACATGTTTTCAAGAAAGGTTATACAAATCAGCAGTTTGAATCTAAATAATTTACTCTACTTTGTAAGAGTACGAAACGAGTAAATATGTGAATATACAAATTATCCATTTAGGCATTTAAAATTATCCAAATAATAAAATTACTTAATTACTCACAATCATCTGAAATTACTTGTACTTACACAATAATTTAACTGGAATCCGAATCCGAATCCGAATCCAGATAATAGTCAATGTTCAAATAGTGGTTTTATATTATATTTCAGCACTTTAATTCACCTCGAGATAAAATTAAAACAATTTTTACCTCTATTTAATACAATATGTTACATCATTGTTATATTCATATATCTACCTTGTATTTAGCTTCTTTTTAAATGAAGAATGATACTTATCTAAAAATTGTTTTCATATATACAAAATGTTCCACAAAAGTTATAAGATAATTTAATAGTTAAATGAAGAATGATACTTATCCAAAAATTGTTTTCATATATACAAAATTGTTTTCATTTTGTTGCTTTTGGTTTAACTTCTCTGACTTTTTTTTGTTGTTTATTATCTTTTATATTGTTTATCCAATGGAAATTAGACAACTCATTCTTAGATATTTATAAATAGTTTTATAGATTACCTTTTTTTAGACGGCATTTCAGATATTTTTTATAGGGGGAGATTCACTATTCTTATTAGAATAATAATAATTGCATCACATGCAATGAGATTAACGATGATTATGAAAATAGAAATAACTTGACTAATATATGTCCTCTTTTGGACGACTTTTGTATCTATATATACATTTTTGGAGTACATTTAGCAAATAAATTCTGGAGTTTCACCTTATTTAGGAGTCCATGCCATTGGCATTTAATTTTTAAGATTTTAAAATTATTATAAAAATAAGTTAACAAACGAAATTGTACAAATCTATTTCCATAAATATCGCAGCAAATCTTTACAATCAACCGAATATTTATTGTGATACCCTCCTTACAATTACTAACCCATACATATCCAATTCCGTGATTTCTTCCACACAAAATATTACTAGCAACGATTTTATATACTATACTAGGATCGGACCCGCGGTCCACCGCGGAAGAATATTGATTTACATACGTTGATTTTAATATTGTGCATGTTTTTAATAGAACGAATCGTGTAGTGTATTTATAAATATTCATAATAACAAATTGTAAAGAAAATATTAAATTGTTTATAATTAAACCAATCATATTAATTATGATTTACAAAATAGAATTTTGTGTTTTAAAATTCAAAAATTAGACAAATCATGGGAATTAAAGCAGTCAAAATAGGTCCAAAACCGAGGGTCGAGCCCAAATCATCTCACTATTGAGCAGATTTGGGAAAATATATTAAACCCGCAAATAAGCGGGCCACATGGATTGATTCATAGTGGGTCATCGGTTTTCATCCGCGGGTTGGCGGATCACCCCGCTAGTATTTATTGATAAAAATATAATTTATTCAACATGTGGTAGTTTAAAAAACTTTTAATAAATGAAATTATAATATTTATAAATATAATGATATAAAGATTATAATCTCTAAATTTTTTCTAATTTATAAATTTCTTTAAATTTTGGTTACTCTAAAATTATTTAAACAAAATCCACGGATAACCTCGCAAATCAACATACATTCGCGTGACGGGTTTGTGTTTCATATATGCTAACCGCGGGTCGTGCAGACAGACTAACTACATGCCAAAATATATTTTGCCTATTGCAAAACAGGCTTAACGGGATGAATCAACTCGTTTTAACAGCTCTAATGGAAATATTATTTAGTCATACAACACAATGGAGTTTGGACATAGAAATAATAGAATATGTATCTTATTTGTTAGATGAGAGATTGAAAGGTGAAATATAATGATTAAAAAATAATTAATATTTTTCATGATTCACAAAATTTAATAAATATTTATCATCTTGTTGAATAATTCTAAAAATCATATTCAAGAAATCTTTATAATTTGAAAATTAAACTTCTTTGGTAAGCTATAAGTATGAAAATACCATAATTTCGATTTAATCTAATTAAATTAAAATTAGTTAAATATATTTCATATCTATTTAATTTACATGACCAAAATAAAAAAAAATCTATTTAATTTATAAAATAGATGGGTTAGTTGTGATAAATTTTCTAGAAATCTCTAGAAGCAAGTAAGATATCTTTTAATTAATGATAACTGGCTAAAATAAGCAAAATTAATGTGAAAAACGTTGATTATTATGGAATTAGTTCCAAAAGTATATGAACAAATATATTAATGTATAATATTGTCCGCATTATGATTTTATAATTAGTTACCATAAGTACAATCAAATTTTATTTGATTTCCATAAACATTTGATTTTAGTTCGATTTTTCATTATTAATTCGAATTTAT